CAATGAGAAACAATTCAATAATATATATCGATATTAAAATTACATGTGCCCATACACATTATTTTGTACCTTTTGTATTTTGTATTTTGTATTTTGCATAAGTACCTAATTAATTCATGTAAATTTAATTTATAATTATTAGACTGCTAATGTTTATGCAAATTCACGTTTTCACAGATACGAGAAAAGTATCGAAACTTAAATGTAAGTAAATTTCATCTTCTAAACGGTATAGCATGTATACTATTGTTGATATTTTATACATTTTTGCATTTGCATACTTTCGCATAGAATTTCCTATGTCACCATTCCCCATAAATTCATAAACATCGACAGTCTACTAATTATTATCGACGTTACTTCATTCTAAAAATTTAACTGTAATTTTCATCTCTAAATTGCATTCTTTAACTGTATATTTCTTTCCTTTTTAACATGTAAAGTGATCATGTTAATTTTTGCTTTTTCCTTAACAATTTGATTGATACCATGTAATTTCGAATCTGCATATTATTTTAGTTTCACATCTCAAAGAAAACCTAAAAATATTTACGTATTAACTAAACATCTGCTGGAAATGCTCGTGAAAATGTTATATTTATATCGCAGAATTAATAAATGTACAACGCACCTGTGCAACGTATCGTTACATCATATTCCGCTGTAATCATCCTTAACGATATTAAGTCACTGGCAATTACCGATAGATCGCGATAAACGTCCGACCAGCGACCACTGACGATTCCGTGCCATAACAGCATCCCAGAGCTGCGTTTAGAATTGTTCGAATAAATTTTTAGAAAGAGCAATTCCGCAGGCCTTTCATGATGCATTCGATTCGCAGAATCGCTAGCCTAGAATTACGAGTACACTGGCTTTTCATCTCTCGTACGATGGAAGACAATTAAGATCCAATCGAGAAACACTCCAGCGAGCAAAAAAAAACTAATCCGCCAAGTAATTTGACTCGTTTAATCGGTCGTTTTTGTTCATTACGGCCGATCCATCGAACGTTGAAAAAAAATACCTGGTAATTCATGGTGTTTAATCCACCATTTTATTTTTTTTATTTTTTTTGTTGACTCACCGCGAACAACACAACGATTAGATATTTTCACGAATTCTCCTGTGACGCAACGCGAGACTCAGAGTTCGGCATTATTCGAATAACTTCGAATAAATCTTTTTCTAAATAACGTCCTCCCATCCTTGCTTGTTACGAAATTTTTTTATTTGTGCAATAGCTCTCTACGAGCTTCTGTACCTAACGATCTCTACCCTATCCGTTGGGCCCTCTTCGACAACATGATTTATTTAGAATCGTTTGAGAAATTGTCCTTTTTGAATCGTGTAAACCAATCCCGAGTCATCGTGCCAGCCATTTTTCTGTAAAATGAAATATGGTTATCAATTGTACAATTTTCAATATTTTCCTTTTGTTCTTGTTCGTTCTTTTTATTCGTACTTTTTATTTCAGATTTACCATGCGAGCTGAAATCTGTTACGTCAGCGGAAAAGGATACACTTTTCTTGCAACTGACATATTATTTTAGTAAAAGTTTTGAAAAAATTCTCATGTATCATCGAAATATAAGTAATTTAGTAGGCAAAGTTTCAATATCTTTTATCGTGTAGTTAGTATTTTTTTTTAGATCCGAATATTGCCTATTTTTTCAGTCGATAAAGTAGAAAACCCTCTTAACACCTTTGTTAAAGGAGAACGCTGCTACAAAAATCAGTTACCAGTAGTTATTGAGATGCTATTTTGAAACTTTTACGTAATTTTTTCAACTGAATTCGTTGGTGTAAAAAAACGAATTTTTTAAAACAATTCTTTTCAAATTTTGAAAAAAGTAGGAAAAAAATCCATACGCTTGCTTGGTCATTATTTTCTAAAGAGTATTTTTTTCAAAATGTAATTCCCATAATTTAATAAGCTTTACTTTTAAGAGATTTCATTCTAAAAACTTCATTTTTTTAAAATTGTCCTTATGCATAGCACAAGGTATACATGATTTGTCAGAAGAAAATACTTGTAAAGTACAAATATAATGGTGTAGACTAGTGGATATTTAGTAAATTCTAGTATTAATTTCTTTAATTATTATACTATACATTACTACCTTTATATAAATTACTTACTATATTACAAGGATATACTTAACAAAATCCTTCTGCACTATATGTTGCACCTTCTTGTAAAGCTTCTTTCAATGTGCAGCATAAGAGGTTTTTGATTAGTATATCCTTATAGTATTATAAGTAGTATATATAAAGGTAGTACAATATAGTATAATAATTAAGTATATAAATATAGTATAGTATAATAATAAAGCAAACGATTCTCTTTCAAACGACAGAATATTTTGTTTACAAGTTTAACAAAATTGCGCGCAATTTTAAATTTGAAAAAAGAAAAATGGTCATTGCTTATGCACCAACTCAATAATTCCATTGACTTAATGACTTTTATCAGATTCTCGAATATCGAACTAACCGGTTATCAACCGTAGTAATTACGTGCAATGTATAATTTAGAACATTTCTTGCACTAATAAGACGCACTAGGGTTGGCTTGAAAAACAACTGCTGCTAATCTTCGCCCGTTCACCGTGACATAATCATGTGTTATATAAAGGGTTTTCCAAGAGGAGCTACAGGATTCTGTTTTTAATCAAACAGAAATGAATCTTGTATTTTAAATGAACAGATGCATAATTACTAGACTGCAGATTTGTATGCATTTATAGGAAATTTGAATGTGCAAGAAACTACAAAATGCACACAGTATCCAATATTATAAAAAAATATTAAAAGTAAAGTTCATATTATAATATTTTCAGAGTAAAATACATTTCTATTTAGGATCAATTTGTGTAGGTACATTTGCAAACATTTTATTTTGTATAAATATCTGCAATCTAATAATTACAATTAAACATGAAAGATAATATACATCGTAACAACCCCTACAGATACTTTAATCATTAAAGAATAAAATTATGAAGCTCCTTTTGGGAAACCCTTTCCTTTGTTATTATCTTTATATGCTGCTCCACTTTCGATTGAGTAAGATAATCAACGGAAAAATTGCAATTAATTAATGATTATATAGTCATCTGATTTTCAGAATCTTTCAGAGACAGATTTGTGTACAAGATTTAAAGGAGCACAGTAGAGAAGCTACTCAAATCATGATGAATAAACGGTAAGGAATTATACAACTGTAGGGATGAAAATAATTACTTTAAAGACTTATTAATCAACTCGTACAATTAGATTTGATATTGTGGAACAAATCCTGATCTAAGGAGCAGCTAAAAGTTCTTTCTATAAAAATTTGAACACTCGGGGTAGCTAGAAATTTAGATTATTCTAATGGTATTCAAACGCATTGTATAATAATCATTATATAATATCAATTGACAGATTCAGTTCACCTTTCATTGGTACAAGAAGCAAATTAACCATAATTTTTTAATTCCATAACAGAGAACATTGCGTTTATGTACTTGAAAGTATAGAAACGAGCAAAACTTTTATTCGATTATGTCTAAAATCTCAAAATTGTGATAATAATGACGTATTTTTTCTTGTTTAATTATTGCTTCAAGAATTAATGTTGAACTCTCTTTGAACAGTAGCTTTAGATTTTCTTTGTGTTTGCAATACAAGATTTCATCCCTTACTCAAGGGGCTAACTAGCATCAATTACTATTGTTAGGCCAGCTGAACCTCACGTTTCAGATACTACAAATTTATACATTTATAGAAGAAACAATCGTATGCTCTCATAATCGATTCATAATTCGGTGATGAGTTTTAATTAAATATTTTTATAAGGATTTAACAAATTCCGACTCTGCTACTGTAATTTTTCGCGTTTTAACTAATTTTTTTTAGTTTATAGTAGAATATTTCCCGATTTTACAATGTTACCTATAGTGCAATACTGTACAATTTTTACTGACGGCCAAGTTTTATGTGTATCAACAAATTTGATTTACTATTGCATTGAACTACATGTTTGTATATGAATTCTAAATTCTAATCATTTAGTATCACTTTCATATTTCATGAAAGAAAAAAACTATCATTAAATTTACTAGCATACCGTTGATCGGTAAAGTAGTAAATGTGTACTCTACTGTGGTATTTGTTATACATAGAAACTGTTAAAACTTATAAACGGGTTAATAAAACAACTCCGAATTTGTTAGGAACCTTAAGAAACTTGTTAAAATAATTTAGAATTTTTTAAATAAATTCGGACTATTTTAACACATTACGTACGACGCTTTGCCCGCGCTAAGCGCTTCCACTGCCCTGATATTTTTTGGCACTCGTCGCCCGGCCTCAACGTTCGGCGTGCTAAAGACGTAATATCTTGTCACCCGTACTCAATTTGTTAATATATCTCCAAACATCCTTAACCCTTTGACTGCGTGACGATTTTTACTGGAAATTCTAAGAGGCGTAGAGGTGTGAATTTAAAAAAAATATCAGTTTATGGAGAATGATAAGATTGAACTTTTTATATTTATAGTTTATTCATAGCACGTTTAGTTTCAGAGTTAAAAATTCCAAACATAGGAAACCTTTTCCCTGAAATTCATTTGTTGCATCGAACTTTTAACTTTTCAGTTTTTATTTTCGAAACTAAGCATCCTATGAATAAATTGCAAATATAAAAAAGTTTCGTCTCATCATCCCCTGTAAGCTGATATTTTTGAAAAATTGATTTGAAGAATTTAACAATTTCTTTGAGTTTAATTTTCGAGGACGGATATATACGCTCTTCGCAGTCAAAGGGTTAACAGCACATTTTGATCACTACTACTTCAGAAAGACCACTCTTGTTATTATTATTGAGATCTCATTCCTACTCTCACTCTCCACGCTCTAAAACGGTTAATACTACAAAGTAGTTCTACAGAAGTGAACCTTTTTTCGAAACAGATTGTGCATAATCTCCTCTGGATCAATATCAAAGCAAAGAAAACTTTCGATGATTCTTTTATTAATAACATCTGTTCTCTTTACTACAACCCATATCACTTGATTCACACAATATTTCATCCCACTATGTATATCTATCACTTGTATTAAATTCTAAGAATGGTTTGTCCAATGCATCGGATTAACCATTCAGTTGGTCGAGATATTCTCTATATTTTCTTATACTTGTTGCTGATAAACTTCTTTTATAAGCATAAGCTGGATAATCCTGATGACTTCTGATGAGTGATCGAACTTGTTTCTGTAAGATCCTAAGCTTTTTTTTTTCCTGGAGTACAGCTGCCTTAGCAAGGAATTTCTCGTACTCTTGTTGTTTTATTGGGCATAAATATCTTGACATAAACCTTGTAATCGGTGACTGTAAAAAATATTATAAATTAAACTTGATATTCTATTTAATGTATCCTTCGCACATATTTTGGAACAGCCTTACTCTAAAATATTCCCATCGCTTAGGAATATAGCCTTCTGGAATTGGTTCCAATGTAGCTGGCCCGATAAATACGTTAGCGCAAAATACAACTATGGCAACAGGGATGGCGCCCACAAAGAAATAAAAATGCAACCAGTTCTTGCATTGATGCCACTGCCAGCGAGATGCCGTTATGATCATTGAGTGGTCATCCGACATGCATCGTACAATTTCTATGAAGAAAGAAAGTACATTACTTTACGACTGTATACTTATCATTCTTTACCACCTGTGCTATATAAACGAATGGTACATTTGTACATGGTAATGCCTATGCTTATATTCTTATATATTACAGTTTTATATTATAGTTTTTCAAAATACAAATCAGCGATTTACTTTTTATATGAATTGGAAAAATCAAAGGTTGCAGATACATTGTGGAAGTGGTTAGTTTCTTTAATTTATTTTTTCATAAAAAGATACATGTAGATCAATTTCGCTTTGATTAACTTTTGAAATTACATACGAAACATGTTAAGGATAAAACGAAAGATCAGTCCTGAAGGGAATCGCAAATCAAGCTAGGTCAGACATTTTAGTCAACATTTTTTAAAGCCTGCAACTAAAAAAAGATTAATCATTGTCCGCGTTCCTTCGACCATAAAATTTCAAGTACAGTATGTACACCTTTTACTTGTTTTAGTGATTTTAAATGCATAAAACGGATAACAGTAATATTCCATTAAATAAGAAATGAAAGAATAAAGTACTATTTTATCTAAAATATTTGAGTTAAATCAAGCAGGATTATTATATATGCCAGTGTGGATTATACTTGAGATTTTACAGTACTCATTCTTCCCCATTCACCTTGATCCAGGATTGACTTTTCTTTTTCCATGCTTATATTGTATTTATATAATTTCATTTGTACGATATTCACCTTACATTAAAAGCTTTGTAACAAACCATCTAAATAGAAGGTTCACTGTACTTTCGTACAGTAGTTCATTAAAATGTCTATGTGCTGTCATAATAGCTTGGTATTATTATGAAAGAGAATTAAACACTGTTAAGTAACTTTCAAACCTTGGCATGAATAAAATATCAGAATGATCGAGCTATTGTACTATTACCAGAATTTGTACGTGTTACGATGGCGATAATAACTCTAAACAGATGATTTAGTTGAATTAATATGCAGAGAGGTTGCATAACAAAACACTATCGGTGTTTATTGAGTGACTAGTCTAGGAAACTAACACAACCTGTTCTCGCTTCTTTGTTTCTGAAATTCGTAATTACCATTCTTTGACATTACGTTCGCCGATGCTCCATTAGATTTGAACAATTTTTGCCCGGCCGAGAGGAAAAGTCTGCTCCACACCGCCATCTTGCTTCGTAACTCTACTCAACTCTGCTGCTCTATTATTGTAAGCAACAACGATGTCAAGCAAAGTGTAAAGCAAAATTCGCCTTGCTTCTAGAGCGTCAATTTTTAGTGCTTTCTGAGGATTTTTTTCTCTTTGGTCTATAAGGAATTTTTATAATGGATTTTGCACACATATTTATTCACATTTTAAAAACACACAATTTTTTGCATTATTTTTTGTAAAAATAATCAAAATAAAAAATAGTACAAGTACAATCTTGTACAATCTCTCCTAAAAAAAGTATGTTCGTGGTTGCTACGATTCCAGTCGTACTGTTCATCTGAAATTAATTATCATCGCTGTGGTTCGAATCAGAATAATTATATGAAGTATTGAAAATTCAAACAATGGCAGCACTTTAAACTATAATTATCGACTTTTTGTATATTTTTTGTCCTTAGTATTCTAAACAAATATTTAGGATAATCAGATTTTGAAAACCGCGGTTCAGAGGATAAAGGCACATAGGAATTAGGAAAAAGTAGGAAACTGCGGGACAAGGACAGAGAGGGCGATACAAAAATTGCAGGAGAGACGAGGACAGGACGATTAGGCTAGCATGATTTTTTTCCAGGATATTGAAGCAAAGAAGCAATTTTGGCCTTAAAACTTTATAAACAATAAAATGAAGATAGCAAACATACTTTTATTGTTTTTAAAGTTTTAAGAGCGAAATTGCAAAATCAATTGCCTTGGAGTCGCATCCGCCAAAGTGTAACGAATATATTATAACCAGAATTATTAGAAAATATTGCTTCTTTGCTTCAATATCCTGGAAAAAAAAATCATGCTAGTCTAATCTCCCTGTCCTCGTCTCTCCTGCAATTTTTGTATCGCCCTCTCTGTCCTAGTCCCGGAGTTTCCAACTTTTTCCGCAACTGTCGCTGAAGTCAACTCGGAGTTTGGCTCTGGGTCCTGCGTATTTCCATTGAGCTCTATTCTAACTGGAGTGTGAACTCCTGTAGGAAGAAATAAAGGCGATGGAGGTCCGAGAGAAATGCAAAATGGGTGGTTCCGGTATTATCCTATAGCAAATTTATTTGTAGAGGGGAAACAAACGTACGCCGTAACATAACCTACCCGAACATCGCTGAGCATTGTCGAGTAAGTTACTTTCAGATTCTTTTCCGCATAAAATTGGATAAATACAATATAAATTGAATTGTGACAAATAATAAAATTTTGTTCTATACCAAATTATATATATTTGTTTGATCTAAATTATGGTATGTAAATTATGTATACTATTTCATTATTATGTCATTATTATTAATGTTTCTATCATTTTATATATAAATAAAAAGGAAATAAAGTTCAAATCTGTACATAATTAATCTGTAAATAATTCCTAGAGTGCCGCGAAATTCAAACAAAGAGGAGTCTGTTTTCCCTCCACACATAAATTTGCTATAGGATAGTACCACCAGAACCACTCATCTTGCATCTCTCTCGCAGTTCACACTCCAGTTAGGATAGAGCTCAATGGCTACGGTATATATATTGGAAAATGTTCTAAAGAGGAAAGAAGATGGACATATCGGCAAACTTCACATTTATTCGAAGTCTAGGGTTTTGCTCATCACTGCTCCACGGGCACCTTACCTATGTCAGTGAAATCTGCTAAAATCCCTATCCCCGCACGACGCGTTTGCAACAACAGAGAGGGAGATACAACAATCGGGCAATTATTTAGGGATTGGTCACACTGTGTGGTTCCCCGTATTCAATCACAATTAAAAATAATTGAAAGCGAATCAATTCATCATTGACTTTTTTTCTACAGAAAAACTCACGAGTATAATTTCTGTTATCGGTTTTGCGAACAGTATTCGCTTTGTTATTTCTTATGACTATATAATTACATTAAACGAGGTTTTGTCATCATCGTTTATTTCGTAATAGCGAACATTCACATAGTGTATCAAGATGTCAATAACAATTAAGGGCTGGAAGGATACACTATTTAGTAATGTAGTATGTGATACAATGCCTATACATTCGATGTACTCTCACAATTTGGATTTTTCAACTTTTCCTTTTTTATGTGAGGAGGTATATAAACACTTAAGATACCTGGGATATTTCATCGTGTCTCATTTGCGGCATATCAGCGTTACAGGACAGTATTATTAAACATGCATTTAATCGAATATGAATACAACGAGTCATGAGTTGTACCTGGTCCAATAGTGGAATATTTCAGTAATATTAATACAATAACAGTACTAACTGGAGATAAGGTACAAGTTAATGTTCCAGAAATAGTTATTCCACAGTTCACAGTGCTTAAAGAAGAGAATAACGCTGAGATCCCACCAGGAAACTTTGGCCGTTTAACAGCTGAAAATCATAATGTTTATGAATGTTATGTTTCCTCTTATACAACAAGGCAATTAGTTCAACAAACAGGAAACCAATACTTTGGATCTTGGAACCCATTACCTGTTGGCGCATATCCAGGTGGTATCATCCCCAACAAAAATTTATTGGGTTATGCAGAACCAGAAAAACTTCATCCAGAGATGGTATCAATACTAAAGCAATATGAATTTCCTAATACTAACGATATGCAAGGAAGACTTCAAATAGTGCCGCAATTGATGAATGACATAAGTCATGCTCTAAAGATACTTGGAAACCGCTACCACATAGTACCCTTTTATATTACAAAAGCAAAGAGTACACAGAAGACAGAGAACCTTTTAGGTGTTACGAAGGTGTCAACTATTCTATATGGCATATATACTCACAATACTCAAATTTCAAAAATTGTAGGAGACATATTTAGTCCATATGCATTAAAATCTATGTCAGTGAAAATGAATATGTTGTATGGTTTCAAGCATTTGCGGACATCTGTGATACCTGAGTTCTGTTATACTAAACCTAATGGTGAAGCACCAGATGGTTGGGAACATTCTATTAATCACAATTTTAATATGAAGGAACCATTTCAAACAACCATGTACCCAGACTATTCACACTTGCGAGATGAGTACCGGATTGCAAGTTTCCCAAAGGGTTATAAAACAGATTCTATAAATGATTGGATAAAAAGTTATGGATAATTAATATAATTAATATATTAAAATAATCACAATAGTATTACTCTCAGTGAAATTATGTTTTATTTTATAAACTAAACAAAGGATGTATGAACAAAATGGTTTGAATAATTATTTTTTTATTTGAAAACTTAACTTTTATATTATTTTATTCTTGTCTTATCATTAAGGGTGCTTTATTATCATTTTATTGTCAATTATGCTTTTATTATAAAAATATATTATTGGAGTTAGCTGGCAGACACGCACACCAAGACTGCCTGACCCGTGATTACGACACGACAAGCGAACGTCAAATAGTATTTTTGAGGTTGACAAAGGTTTCTCCGTAAATTTCTAAAAATATTGTATTTTATTTTTTTGTATTACAAATTTAAATTTCGAACGAAATAAAGAATACAAAATAGTGTCTTATGTCGTAATCTGAATCCTGTTTTAGTAATCTTGAAAATGTAATCGAAATTCGAAATTAAATTGAAATTGAAATTCATCATAATATATCAAAATCAAAATCATTACAATTATGAATATTAATTATCTTATATCGTATTTTTGTAGTTATTTTTAACAACGTATGGAGACGTCGTATGCTGACGTCGAGATGAATTCAACGGTGTATTATACTATGACCTGAATTACCTCAAACTCGAAAATTGTGTGCAAACGTAATTTTAGTGAAAAAGTATTTATATATATATAAATACCAGAGTTTTCTAAACTTCTATAAATTCTACAAATTAAATAAATTGTTACTAATGATTATTAGATAAGAGTTTCGCCCACTTCTGCGCAAATTTGCCAATACATGTTTGAAAATAAACTAGGGGAATGTAGTTTTTTCCGACACGAAAGATCCGACGGTGTTTTTCGTTAATAATTGAACGATCAAACGAACTGGTGAAGTTCGATCGCAATTATATGTAGTGCCTCGTTCGAATATATTACAACATGTAGTTTCCCCTCTCCCCGACATTGGTCACAGCGATTTTATAGAAAAAACAAAAGATGGCATGTGCCGTGCCCACGAAGCACACGCCAACCATCGACGCTCATTCGTTCAGGGCTATCAAAAAATTGTTGTTAATAGGGGTTGGGAAAGAAAATCAAACCAAAATAGGGTGGGTTACTACATATAATTGCGATTGAACTTCACCAGTTCGTTTGATCGTTCAATTATATTTCGGCCTCGTTCTTAATATTATAACATGTAGATGTTTAGAGCAAACAATTTTTTGATACAACACTTGTATTTGGTATGAATTCTAACTATTAAATGATATACAATAACACTGTCCAACAAATTTAAACTTCTTTTAAATTCCGCGATATCCACTAGGTGATTCTTATAGGGTTCCTCGTCCTAAATACAAATCTGAAAGTGAAATTGCTCCATCACCCTCAGTTTTCGAGAAATTCGAGATTTTGTAAATACGGTCGATTTTGAGATAAAACGTAGTACTACTTGAAAACTACGAACGCTAGAAAGTTCTATTTAGTCTTAGAAGATAGAGGAGTGTTTTCTGAACATGAAGACATATTCCTTTAGAATTATCTGCTCTTTTGAATGCCTGTAAATGAACACCGAAGTTCAAAAAGTTGTCAATGCGAGTACTTTTCACGATATACTTTTGTATTTTTATGAAAAGTTATTCGTCTAGGTCGTATTTACTATGCATTATAGGATTCTGCAAACATTTGTGAAGAGAAAATCACCCGCGACAAATGTTGGAACATTTTCTAGTTCGTACAGATCCAGAAAATATTAATTTAGAATGCACGAATTCTGTTTGTCGACGCGCAGGCTCTGCTCGCTTTATATCGGTGAATCAGGGCCGTCGTCATGCGTTCTGCACAATCATCGCCACGCGCTTGAATAATAACCATCAAATTCTCGTAACTTCGTTGAAATTCGTCCCACATTGACGAAT